GCCCGAGCGCATCCTCCCCCCCGGCCACAGCAGGCAGGTAGGTGCCACAGCGCTGCCCGCGCAGGCTGGGGCACTGGCCAGCGGCGACCCGCCTCTCGGAGGGGAACTCACAGGGTGCGCTTTCACCGGCACGTGGAGTAGCTACAAGCACCCACACCTCCAACAAAAAGAATTTGGAAACAGGGGGATCTGCACTCCCCAAAGCAGGAGTGTGCGTTTGTAACCTGCGCTTCTCGTGAGAGAGCGGACGTGCGCATGGAGCTGCGTGAATACCTAAGTGGGATCAGTCGTCAAAGGGTGTGTCAGAAAGTTTTAGGTGCTTATTAACACTTTGTAAGCACCTAGTATTGTGATTTCTGTTATATTGCTGCTACTGATCCACAATATATACTTCACTAATTACTGGCAAATGACACGTTGCTAATCAATAAACCCCCTTGGTGCTGTCAAGACTATGTGAGTTGCAGTTATTCTCTGCAAAGAGTTGCTGTTTCATTATTACGAATTTGACAGTAACATCACATCTGCAGAGCAAAGAGTGGAGGAGAGGCGACAAACATTCTTCCGGACAAGCAGAGAAGACATAATTCATGAATTTGAAAAAAATTGCAAGACTGGATTAGAGCAGGACAAATTCAAACAATATCCTCCCAAAAGCAGCCCAGATGTACAAGCCAGTTTCAATCCTGAGTGCTGCCAGACATACTGCAATGACATATCACCGATTCGGTGTCACTAGAAATGCTCTAGCGTATTAGCAGCTATGTATTTTTTGTCACTGTGATTTGTGTCAGAAGAATAAGGCAAAACACGCTGACAAAGGAGAAGGTCAACGATATTAGAAGCCCAGTGTATTACCTGTCAAGTATAAAGTATGTATTTAGAAGGAAAGAGGTGGAGATGATGACTATGAAGTTCATGCTGCCCACTTGAAAAAGTCTCTTAATAATCAGTATTTGCATCAGCATTTCTCAACAGTAAAGGACTCCATCAAAGCACAAATGCTCTTTTTCTGAGTCACGGATGTAGTTTATGTTTTCCATGGTTGCATGAGAAATTTTTAAGGTAAAGAGAGCTGAGTATTTTGAGCAGGGGTGCATTTTTACATGGTGAGCTTTATGCCAGAATTTAGAAAATTTAAAATGAGAACAGGCTAGGTGCAATATGAGAACTCCAGCTGCAGCCTGGTGATCACACACTGTGTTCTGTCCATCTGCTACCTGCAGAGAACATTAGTTGACCGTCAGCAACAACTCAGTTACGCAAATCAATCTTTAAAAAAGAGATATTTTCATTTCCAGTGGGTTTTCTGGAAGTTTCAATAGCTGAGGAACCTGTCGACACAGCAAATACAGATGTTCAAAACGTAGAGAGGACAAAGGGTTATTAACAGCTAATATCTAACTGCTGAGCACGGAAACTGGAGGAGAGTTGTGAAACCTGATACAACTGAATAACTTCAAGTTAACACAAGACAATTGGCAGATACCTACAATTAAGACCAAGCAGATACTGAAGCCTTTCTTAAAAGGCTTGAAAACAGTTTTCACTGGATTGCTGCTGACTGATTTAGACACTCCACCGCCTACTGATGATCTCCTGAGAAGTCTTGAGTGTGACCCTGCTTCACAGGTATTTTATGACCAGAAGTTCAATCAAAATCTTTAAAAGCGTGTTGAGATCTCAGAGACCTTGGGGAAGGAAGTTGTTTTCAAGTAAATATAGGAATATATTTCGGCAATATGTTAATCATCATTGAAAGCAAAGACTAGAGGCATTAAGCTGGCATAATCCAGGTAGCTTCCAGGGACCTGCCCACATCAAATAATCACTATGAAAAATGACAAAGCAGATTTAAGAAAGCTACTCTGAGCCCTGCCAAAACCTTCCACAGGCCACCTGTGTGAAATACATAGAATAGATCTACTCAAAAGAATAAATGGTTTGCAAAGTTTGGGGAATATGTCTGTCTTCTGAACCTCCCAAAGGTGCACCAGAAGACAGCACAAACCTTCATTTTGAGAAGTTATTACAATACTTTAGAAGATGCTGAGTGGCAGCAGGCACATGTTTGTTCAGTTAACTCTCCAGTCACATAGGTAGACTCATACCAGGACCTACTCTTGAATTATGATCACCGTAGCACTGTAAGAACATGTCGGAGACCTCCTCAAAGATCCTTTTTGTCACAGGGACAAAGGAAGACAGAAATTTAATTGACATCTAGACTAAATGGATTTAGATTTGTAGAACATTGGGACATCTTTTCTGGATAAAGAACTGTATCATTTAGTCTGTCATGGAGGAAAAAAAAAAAAAACAAAAAACAAAAACCAAACCAAACCAAACCCAACCTTTCCAGGCAAAACTTAGCAAGATTACATGCAATGGCATTAAGTAGCTAAAGAATGAGGTGACCATTCGTTTAGCACAAAGTAAAGATGATCAGGCTAAAATTAAGCTAACGACCACAAACCTGACAAGAACTTAGCTCCCTACACATACGTATTTAATAGGAACTGAATTCCTAATTTGGAAGCAGAAAATATATCTAATTGGTTTTACTATAAGGTAGTGGAAGATATACGGATAACAAAATATTCAGTTCATTACTCAGGACTGTTTCCGATGGACAAGCTGATCAAAGGAAGGGAATAAAACCCCCCAAGTAATCTATACAAACCAAAATAAAGTCAGAAAGTGTCACAAATGCAGACGGAACAAAATTCTGCATGATAAATCATAAAATTAGGTATTAAATTGATTCTGCTACAGACTACTAAGTCATGTTAAAAGCATGCCTTGCTTCTTAATAGTTTATCTTGTTAGTTACATGAGGAAAACACTCCTGGAAGCTTTATCTAAAAAGCGTATGTCAACAGCGTATTGTAAGTCCAAACTCACAATCTCATAACTAAAGTTAGCATTAGCTAGGGAGAAAAACCTACATTAAAACCAATATGAAACCAAAGGAGAACCAGGCAGAAAAATAACATATATCAGAAAATTCTAATAGCTAAGGAAAGCCTTAAACATAGGAACAGAAGTAAGGTGGTTTTTAAATCAGCAGCTCCAGATAGCTCGCATCCAAGAATTTTAAGAGCTGGCAAAAGTGACTTGTGTGCTGTTAATGTGGATTTTCCATAAGCTTTGAGAAATCTGGGAAAGCTCAGAAAAAAAAAAAAAATCTCAAAGAAAGCCGAGGTGGTGCCAATACTAGAAAAATAAGAAAGGAACAAATTGAGAAACTTACTGTCAACCATACATTAATCCCAGGGGAAAAAAAAAAAAAAAAAAAAAACAAACAAAAAAACAAAAACAAAACAAAATTGACTTTTTGATATAGGAATCTCAGATTGACTTTTTTTTTTCTCATACAATTACAGTACACATTTGGTAGACAATAGGTACAGTGTTGATGTAAGACATTTGTACATTGACTTGTTTAATAGGACACAAAAAACTGGCATGGTTGTACACATATAGTTCATGTTAAGTAAATTAAAGCTAAGGTGGCAGGTCTGTGTCATCATCAAGGACTCAGTCAGACCTATTTCTAATTGTATCCCACAGGAATTACTCTTGGCAGAAAGCTACTCAGTATTTTATCTGGAAATACAGTTTACTAAGAATACTCATAAAAGCTCTAAGTAAATAATGTAGCAAAATTGCTGATTGGGAACCATCTGGATTACTGGAAAGTTGTTTCAGCATGATCAGTGTGAGGTCATGTATTTAAGAGTGATGAATATAAAATACTTAGACGGAAAACTTCCTCAGGAAGTAGTTGGAATAACTGGTAACAGAATAAACATGGGTTCCTTATGCATAAGTGAGTGCAAAATTGTTAATGTAACTGTTAAATGGCTCAGAAAAACCACCAGGACCAAATTGTGCTTTCACTGCAGGGAGGAAGAGACCAGAGAAGCAGGACTATCAAAACAGATTTTTCAAGTAGTGATCTCCATTGGCAAAGACACTGCTGCATTTCAGGAAGCACCAATAGCATGACAACTTCTGTATCCATATTTATTGGAAATGCTTTATCAGAATATAGCATCTAGTCCAAAGAAGTTATTAATAAACCAGAGGTTTCACAGAGCAAGTACAAATGACCCATGCACAAAACAAGTCTAAAATTGAGCATCGCAATGGAATAATTGGCACACAAAAGTTAACTCCATCACATGTGGTTTAAGGATCATATGAAGACCTATAAAGCATTTGGTAGGGCAAAAATAGTTATATTAAGTGCAGTTTCAAAATTGAAAGTAAGTTCATATTAAAACACCAAGCAGGCTTTTTTGAGTAACTGCAGTAATTACTAAGCTTCCAAAGGTGGCAGTAGTTTAGCTAACATTATACCTGTTTATGATTATTGAACAAAACCCCAAATTAGAAATATTATTTTTAAAAGATAATCACAGTGACCTTACTACATGGGCCATCATTTCATGACATATAACATCTGTTTCCCCGCTTCAAAAAAAGCTGTCCATTAGCAATGTAACTAGAAACAGGTACGCTCTCAGCAAAACGCTTGTTTGGGGACCGACAGTTACCAGTGTCCAGGTGAAATCAGTGACTGTTCTCGTTAAAAAACATCCCCCCGCCTCCCCTCAGTGGCCAGTCTGAATAAATAACGGGACTTCGGCAGGTAAAAATGAGTTTAAGCTCTTAAGAATGAACGAAGCCAGCGTTTTTACTTAAAGCTTCTGTTCTCACGCTTCCATTTTCAGTAATGACAAACAAGCAATAAAACCCAAACAATAAGGCTTAGCTGGGACCGGGGCCACTACCCCTCCAAGCGATGAAGACTCGCTCGTACACGAAATCCCGGAACGCCCCCCCCCCCCCCCCCAGAGCGCTGAGGCCTGCCGGCAAAGGTACCGGCGCCCGAGGGACCCCAGGGCGCACGGCAGCCCCGCGGGCCGCCCAAGCCGCGGAGCCCGGCCCGCTGCTGGCGGGCCCAGGCCCCGGCCCCGGCCCCGGCCCCTCACCGCCGCCGGCCCAGTCGCTCCCGGTGCCGCTGCTCCGCTCGCCACCCCGGCGCTTCCGGGCCGCGGCGCGGCGGGTGAAAGGTCCCGCGGCGCCCGGATGGAGGCGGCGCCGCTCCCTATATAAACGGCCGGCGGCCGCCGCCCCCTCCTCTCCCCGCGCCGCCGCCGCCGCTGCCGCCGCCGCCTCCTGGCTCACCGCTGTTCGCTGGGCCTCGCGCCGCCCCTCGCCCGGGAATAAGTCGGTCAGGAAGGTTCCGCCGCCGCCATGGTGAGGGGGAGCGGGGAGGGGTGGGGGCAGAGCGGCCGCCGCCGCCCCTCGGGGCCGGGGGAGCCGCGTGGCCGCCGGGCCCGGGCGGCCGCGTGTGTCCCGCCGGTGCTGGGCCCCGGCCGCGGGCAGCGTGTCCGCAGGGGGGGCTCCCGGGACTCCCGGCGGTTTGGGAGTGCGGGAGAGGGGAGCCCCCGGCCCCGGGGGCGCTCCCGGGGCGCGGCCAGGGCCGCGGCGCTTCCTCGGAGCCGAGCTGCCCGTCGGGAGCGGCGGCGGCTTCCGCCCGGCCTCGGCGGTGGCGGCCGGGCCGCCGGCGTCTGCCCTCCGAGCCGGCCTTTGCTAGAGGAAGGGGCGTCAGGAAACGCGACAGATAGTATCTCGCTACTCAGAGAAATAACGTGTTTTAAGACCCTTCTTCTTCCGCCTTTTCACTTTTAATTTCCTTCGTCAGTTCACTTGGGTCCACGTCAGTGCCCGAATATTTGCGAGCTTTTAATGCGTAAGCGCTTCAGATCGGTCTCCCAAGTGCATTCACTTGGCCAGATGCCCCTTTTTGTTGATATCTTTGTTAATTAGTTCGTGGTGAGTTTAAATTGTGAGTCACGTGAAATCTGAAATGTGCTTGTTTTGGGGGATGAAGAGTATTTGTGACTGGACAGCCTGCTGTATATAGGCAAACCAGGGAGGGGTGTTCTTGCAACTTCCCACCACCAAGATGCAGTTAGATGCTAAAAAATTGCATTTCCTCAGAGCAGTTAGGACTGACGTTTGTTCCGCGTCGCTGTACCCTTTGGATGTGTCATCTAGTCAGTAGAATAAAAACACTCCCATAGCTACATTGCTCTTTACCCTCTAAGAGTCTGTTTTTAAGAGGCTGTGGATAGCGTTAGTTGGTGTTGACTGTAGTGTCTGATATTTGTAACTTCAACATTTTAGGCATTTAAAGATACCGGCAAAGCACCTGTGGAACAAGAGGTAGCAATTCATCGCATTAGAATTACCTTGACGAGTCGCAATGTAAAATCACTTGAGAAGGGTGAGTGGTACTTTTTTTTAACTGGGATAGCTTGTAAGTAATAAATGATATATATAATATAGCATTGCAAAATAAAATGTATTGAAGCCAGCTATAATTAAAGATAATAGTGTTTGCCTGCTTGCGTATGACTTGGCTAACAAAGTCAACCTTCATACACTGACAAGTAGATTCTAATTTAATTTTTAATGGAAGCTAGTGTTTAAAGTTTTTCATCCTGCTGAAAACTTCACATCGTAATGACTAATGTAAGAGAGTGCAGCTTCTTCCCTTGAGTTCTCATGGGGGTTTTAGTCACTGTCTGAATGTATAAGTACTGAAAGACACCCATTTCTTGGTTGATACTTTCACTCTTGTTATGAGTTTAGTTTAGAAGTTTTAACGTTATTTAAGAAATTTTAAAATCTTGTTTAGGAACTGGCTTTGCCAGTGTTTTAATCATATAATGTAAATGCCATACAATCACTGTTTGATGCAGGATCTTCAGGCTGATAACAGCTTAAATACAGCTTAAACTTGTAGAAATGGTGTTTGCCTACTGTTGTAACATGATTTCGCCCATCATGACATAAAGTGTCTACATTTATATGGTTGGCTATGAGGACAACCCTTAAAATGAATGGCAATGATAATTTCATACGCTATTCTGAGCCAGCTTCTAGTTTGAAATCTTAACTTAAAAAGAAAAAAAAAAAAATACTAACCTGAGCTATTATGTTTTGTTTTTGGGTTTTGTTTTTTTTTTTTGTTTTTTTTTCAGTCTGTGCTGACTTAATCAGAGGTGCTAAGGAAAAAAACCTAAAAGTGAAAGGACCTGTTCGCATGCCCACCAAGGTACTTACCACTGTTTTCCAGTCTTTAAAGTTTGTGGTTTTTTCTGCAAATGTGCACTCAAAAGATCTTTAAAAATAAAGTCGAGATGAAAAGCAATACTACTAAACTGAGGGTGACCCAGTGTAAGCAGATGATGACTTCAAAAGTTGCTTTGATGCTTGGGGCAACTGTTTAGAGCAAAACATGTTGAACGTGGAAGGAACTTTTATGTCCTTCAATTTATTTTAATCATGAACATCGTTTTTAAATTAAATTGAATATAGGAAAGGAGTGTTAACATCAGTTGACTATAACTTTCCAATGACACAGATACTGTACAGTATTTTTAAGTGAATTGATTTGATTGTAGGCTAGTCTTCCGTATGCCTCAACTGAATACCTTGTGTTTATGATTTTGCTTCAGACTCTGCGAATCACTACCAGGAAGACACCTTGTGGTGAAGGTTCCAAGACCTGGGATCGTTTCCAAATGCGTATCCACAAGCGGCTCATTGACTTACACAGCCCTTCTGAGATTGTGAAGCAGATCACTTCCATCAGCATTGAACCAGGTGTAGAAGTTGAAGTTACTATTGCCGATGCCTAAACGATGGTCATCGTTGAATAAAGTTGATTTACAAATTTTCATCAGTTTGTTTTTATATGCGTGCCAAGAGTCTTGGGTAACCCTATGGTGATTATCATGAAGGACAACAGAGATCATAATCAAAATACTGTGTGAGAGGATTGTATGATATTTAAGGAAGAATATGCCAGTTGTAAACAAGGAAGACGAGCTTTGGCATAGTTTCTTTGGAGGCTGGTAACTATATGGACGTGCAGCATTTAAACTATTAAAAATATATTTTCCATAAGGTATTTAACGTTGGCCAAAATCTTAAGTCTATATCCAGACGAGCAGTAGCATTGAAATGGATGTTTAAGTAAATTACCAAGTTTTCAATTCTTAGTTTTTGATATGCAAGGCTGAACTAACAGTTAGCTTGCTTGGATTTTTTTTTTTTTTTCCCCAGACTTTTCAGAGTCAAAGGATCCTGAGGATGTTAGTTTTAAAACTTCATAATTTGTGGTGAATACACTGAATTTAGCAAGTTCTTTCTTTACACTTGCATGTAGAGTCACAAAACTAAGCTGTGGAACTAGCTGTCTTTCTAGGTTTAGATTTCTATAGATTTGAATATTATAAAGGTAAACTTCAGATGTAAAACAACAAAACAGCCATTTTCATTGCTGTTACTTAGGCCTCTCCAGTCTGGTGGGGTTTTTTTCTTCTGCAAACTAATCCTTAAAGTAATTATGATTAATTCTTAAAGTAACGAGACAAAGCCCCACGTTAAGTGAAAGAACACTTTCAGCCATTTAAGATTGGGTTGCTGTTTGTGCTTCAAGCATAGGAGAGATTTTGAATTCTAATTAAACAAGCAGCAGTGTGGAGCTTGAGGTTCCATTTACGTTTGTTACGACCTAAGACAGTGGCCAAAGCTGGAGCTTTCTTACTCAAGGGATTCAAGAGTCCTTCATCTGCCTACTTGTCTTAATGTAAAGCCTTAGAAGGACTGCCTCTCTAGTGAGCAAGATCAAGAGCTCTGGTAGAAGGGAGAGGTGAGAAACTTGGTTGTACAGATTGCAACAAGCCTGCTTCATTGGGAAGCATCTCAAAGAACTATGAGCAGAGAAACACCTATGTCTGCCTAAAGGTCAGTTTCTGGCAATAGGAACTGTCTGACAAATACTTCTAGCCCTAGTTTTGCAATTATTTGTATTTTGTGAAGCGTTCTGAAAAGCGTGGCAAGAACTTGGTGTGACAGCAGGCAGATGAAAAGAGGCTAAACAGGTGAACAAGTAACAGACTGGAAATTTTACTAGCTGCGGCTGACTGACCTTTGTGTATGATTAGCTGTTAAATTTCACCCAAGTAGTCTTTCTTCTGCTTGACCCCTTAGCCTCACTGAAAGCCCTCGGAGGCTCCGGGCTGGCTCTGACATCATTTTCTGGTCTTCCCTGCTGGACAAAACCTGATGCTATGAAATAGCTTTTTATCGTCATCCTGCAGCTGGCTGTACCTCTGGCTCACACAGTGCCCCTTAAACATACCTGAATGACCTAAAGTGCTGTCTGTGTTGTTGGAGCACCTGTGGCTCTTTAAAGACAAGTATTCTGCCATCTTCTGCAGGTGTTTGTTTCTTTTCACCTACCTCCAACTTACTCCCGAGCACAAATACGACTTTACCTTCCACTCTGGGTCTCGTACTGTGCAGAAAAAAAACCGTCTCCCTACTCTCTGAATAGACGGGCTCATGCGGGAAGGTTCTCTGCTCTTTGCCAGAAAAGCTGAGCGTTTGCCGAGCGAGGGCGGGGGGCCGCGGGCTCCTGGGGAGCTGCTTCAGGGAGGGGGAAGCAGGGTTCACGCTTCCCTCCACCTGTCCCAGCCCTGGCTTTGCGGAACGTGAACATTTTACCGTTTATGTGTTTCCGACAGCAGTACCGCGTAGCGTCGAAACGGTTACGCAACACCCCCAGTAACTTTTAACTGTTTTGATGGAAATATTTAGGTATCATCCCCCCCCCCCCCCCCCTCCGCGCGCCCTACCAACACGCTCTCAGGCAAAAGACACCCCTCCCCTGGCCGCTAAGCTGCCGCTGTCGGCGCCGCCTTCCTCCGCCGTTCAAACCTCCTCCTCCTCCTCCTCCCCCCCCCCCCCCCGTGCCTTATTAAAAACGATAAATAAATCGTGCGTCACAAGCACGCGCTGCAGGCGCTCCCTCCCCCCCGCCGGCGGCGGCTCGCGAGCTGCCTTGCGCTGTGCGGCGGCGCCCCCTGCCGGGCGGAGGGAGCCGCGCCTCTGTCCCGGCCTGGGCCCGCCCCCTCACCACCGCTCCACCTCCCGCTCGCGATTGGCCAATCAGCGCCCGCCTTCCCCCCCCTCCCTCCCCCCCCCCCCCCCCCCGCCCAAATGCTCCTTCCCCCGCCCGCGCGGGTGCGTTTCGCGGGTTCCCGCGCGCGGCAAGGTAGCGGCGGTTGGGCGCCGCGGCCGTTGGCGGGCGCCGGGCCCGGGGGGCGCCGGGCCCTGCCCTGCCGGAGCCCCCGGCTCAGCGGCGCTGAGCGCGGGGGGTGCCGGCCTGGGCCTGGTGGCCGAGCCCCTGGCGCCTCGGGATCGCTGAGCCTTTCAGGGGTGGGGGTGACAGGCTGTGGTCCGGGGGGATGAGGGCAGCGCCCAACAGACGCCGTTAGGGTGCTTTCACTTGCGTGTTTCTTAGTATAACCTAGCTGTCAGGTGTTTTATTTTAAGGCTCCTGTATACTCCCGAACTTTTTTAGAGGACCTAATCTTCTCTGGAAGTTCTTGTTGATATACAAGCTACTCTGATCTCTGTTTTGCTCCCTATGTTTTTGCTTATTCTGTGAGAAAATGATGGATTTTCTTTTTTTTTTTTTTTTTTTCCTCCTTACAAGTTCCTTTGCACAGAGCAATGGATAATGAGGGGAGAAACAATGTTTCTGCAGAAGTATCTGATACGTTGGAATCAGTTTCTTTTCCCAACCTATGGGGTAAACCCTCACCTATGGAGTCAACAATGTTGCCTAACGCAGAGGAACAGGAGGTGTGGATTAGTTTTGTAACAGGCCTTCTTATCGTACTTTTTTTTTTGAGGGAGGGGGCGGAATTTAAACTTTAATTTCTGGCAAATTTTTCTTCAGTAAGAGCTGCTGTAGTCCCCCGCTCTCTAGATGCGTTTAATTGTTCTGCTTACTTCTCATTTACAAATAAATTGTAGCCAGTCACAAATGCAGATGGTCAATGCTACATGATGTGTGGTGCTAAGCTTTTGAGAAGGAATGACTTCAGTTACTGCGCTTCGAATGTAATGTGACTGTATAGTTCTTTTTAGTAGGCTAAAAAATTATATAGATCCTTGTTGAAAGCTTGTTAGGTGCTTGGAAATAAAAATTTGTAGTGCTGTGCTACAGTACACATTTGAACATAGTGTAGTCATTTAATGCTTTTTTTAGAGTGGTTGGTTTCCCGATTGACTTCCCTCAGGTGACTTAATTTTGTATGATGAGCGGAGTGCTGATCATGAGAGGGCTGTGAAGAGCTTTGGTAAATCCATCTGCTGAATTAGCAAGTTGCCAAAGTACCAACTTTGAAGCTCAGTGAGTAAGGAAGGAATGCTGGGATCCCTCTAAAATCTCCCTGCTATTATCACTTCACCTGGATAGGGAGACTTTTGTATAATGGTATGGGATGGAAAAGCCCACCTTAGCAACTGAGAATTATTTCATGGTTGTTACTGAGGAAGATGAGGCGCTGGTGCCTGGATGGTGGCAATGAAGAGATCTCTTGAGGCAAAGAATGTGTCAGTCTATTAACTAAACATGGTCCATACAAAATGGAAGTGCGGTACTGTAGAGCAGCCGTTCAAAAATACAGCTTGAATTCAGTACAGAGGGAGACCAGAAGGTGGAAGCAGTGCAGTTTATGCCTCTGACAGTGTGTTCTTTTTAAATCAAAATATTGGCTTTGTCATAAAAGAGCACTAATAGGAACGTGCATACACACACACAAAAGGGGTTACTTAAGGACATTAGGAGGTAAAGAAGCAAATGAAAGCTTAGGATCTGAACTTCGCAGGGACAGAGAAAGACATGAAGATAAAACAGGAAATCCTACATCAGAAATGTATGCTAATATGATTTGGAGTATTCTGTTCAAAAAGTAGCCGTTATAACTGTGTATTTATTTTTTTTTTTTTTTTTAATGAATAGGCATATCAACCTTTGAAAGTCTTCTTGAGAGTGAGACCCTTTTCTGTAGCAGAGATTGAAACCCATGAATCTCAGGTTAGTTGTAGAATTAAGAAATAAGTTTTTCTTCTGCCTTCAAAGAACACCTAGTATTGTGAGCTGGGACTTTCTTTCATGTATTGCTTCTAAATAGAACTAGTAGACGCCAGGATAACCATGACTTTTTTTTTTTTTTATCACAACTTTTACAAATTTGCATGGTACAGACATGCACACCTGTAGCTCTGAAAAATTCCGCTGGGTATGTTATTTAAAAGTTGGTGTCATTCTTGACTCTGTGCAGTGCTCAAGGAAACGAAGGAGTTCCATGGAAGACATTATGCAATTCTAGGAGTAATTCAGGAACCTGACACTTGAGTTTCTCTGGAATGCCTGAATAGTCTACTACCTCATCCCAGTGACTTGCTTCTCATCCTGTCAAATTTTTCTATAACCTCTACAGTTTACACTGTCAGATTCAGATGCCTCAGTGTTTTAAACACAGAAATACTTCTCCCTCCTCCCCACTCCCTGCTCCCCAATTCATTGTGAACACTGATGGAAAGAATTCATTTAGGTGTCCTTGGAGGACAAGGTCTTTGCAATGTATCTCTCGTCTTTGAAGGGCTTCACAGGCTCTCTGGTAGACCTCTTGTTCCTGTCTTGTTTGGAGAAGGATTTAATATTAGTTTTGAATTGCTGTTTGCAATTTGCTTTTTAAAAAAATATATTATTGCATTTAATCTGCCAGATTTTGAATTTTTTTTTTTCACTTGTTTTTTGCTTTTGCCCCCTCAATTTCTGTTCACCTTTCCTTAGGCAGTTAATGTTGAATAGTATGCACCGACACAGTGTTTCCAGCTTGGTATCATGCAGCAATCTGAGCTGGTTGTAAGGGTAATTTGATTTACAAAATCAAATTGGTTTAAGAATTGTTTATCTCATCCCTCTTTGGAATGGGAAATTTCTGACTACCTGACCATTAGTGAAACTACTTGCTCTTAAAAACAAGGAGGGAGGAAAAAAGGAAGTGTTGAAATTTGTACTATATTAAAAAAAAAAAAAGCTCTTGTCTTCATGTGGATCATGGTGAAATAGTTGATCTTCCAACATACTAGCTGTATAACCTGTTTTGCATGGTATGAAGGCTTTTTCCTCAGCCTCCAAAAACTATGAATTCTTGAAAGGTCTTCAATGTTTTCTACTCTCTTAACCGTCACCTGAATCCATGAGGAAGATGCTTGGTAACAAATGAAAAAAAAAACACAACAACCAACCAAAAAACCCTTCCCATCTACGTAACCAATGAGAGATGAACTTAATTTTTAGGTTCCTTTTTCCTCCCTGCTGTGCATAATTTTCAGGAGAGCATCTTTATTCCAAATACATAACAAGAAAATAAAAAAGTAGAATACAAGCTCTATTTCTTACAGCTGTAGCCTGATGCTTTGAACAGAGACAATCAACAGGTTAATGGATCTGTTGTTGCTTATAGAGATAATGATTTATGCAAGTAATGCTTAAGAGCTGTGGATGGAATTCTCTACTCTTGATGTAACTCCCTGTGATTCTCTGGAGTCACCCGCTGGGGAACAGGAAATTGTGTTTTTCAGATAGAAACAATGTGTACAGTGCCAGAAATGGTCCAACTCCTGCCATGAGACCTGTGGCATTAGCTGGGGGAGACAACGTGAGTGATGTGTTACCAGCTGGATTCCAGCTCTGCAGATCTGACTACTTCAAGGCCTCTACTCACAAGCTTCTATGAGGCTGGTGGCAGCTGATGGCACGTGCTGCAGATGTTGGGTTCTTCTGTAGCTCTCGAGGATTTAGTACATTTGACCAGCATTCCTGTTCCTGGCAATGTGGGAGGAATGTTAAAGAGTATATGGGTTCAGAGTCTGGCACAGTGAACAAGTGGTTTGTCTAAATTCAGTACTTGGCTTCTTAGAGCTTCTATACCAGTTGATAAAAGGACTTGTTAATTGAGACTCCTTGGAAGAGCAGTACTTCCTATGGACGTGCTACCCATGGATTATTAGTCTTACCAACTCTGGCCAGCCTTTGAACATAAATATCAGATTTAGTTACAATCAATTATTGTGGCTGATGCTTCAAGACACTCTTAAGCTATACTGGTAGTTCACTTTGTATTTCTGGTAACCTGTCTGGTGCAAAATAAGTTTTCCTGTGATACTGCAATCTACATTTATCTAGTTAGTGAATGCTAGGTAATTGTATTTTGCCTTTACTTAATTGAGAAATGGCAACCAAATTGGTCTTGAAACTAATTCAGTTTCCTTCATTGCTGATAACACCATCTATCAATCAAAGGATAATGCTTCAAACTTTTTAAACTTTATTTATACTGATCATGACTTGTTTCACACTGAAAATGACTGAAGTACAAAACCAGTAAATTTCTATATAGCTGTGTTTTCATAACTATGGTATTCAGGATACCACAAGCCACAATCACAAAATACCACGTACCACGGTTAGAAATTTTGGTTTGTTTTTTGTTGTTTCGTGGTGTGGTGTGTTTTGGGTTGTTTGGTTTTTTTTTGTTTTTTTTTTTTTTTTTTTTAAATTTGCTGGAAGGAATACTAGAAAATTTTTAAACCTTTTAGAAAACTCCAGATGATTGCCTTAATGTTGTCTACACTCTAGCTTTCATGTGAGCTGGCTACCTCTGTAGTTGATACACACCTCAAGAAAAGATTATATGTAAATTTTGGAACTGTTCATAGCTCTGGTAAATAGATGAGAACACTGATTTGTGGGATTTATTTGTTTGTTTGGTCTTTTTTTTTTTTTTTTTTTTTTTTAGATAGCTTTCTTCCTAAATAATTTTGTGTTCTGTTTTGATTTACCTTGTCGTGTTTTTTAAGGGTTGTGTAACTATTGAAGATTCCCAGACAGTAATTCTTCATGCACCCAAAGAGTCTCCTGCAATGAAAAACAGTGAAAGAGGGATTGGTCATTCTGTGCATAAGTTCACCTTTTCTCGGGTAGGAAAATTTTTTCCTAATTTTTATTTATAATTTGCTTTTTTCCACTGTAATGATAAAAATTGACTTTTTATCATTACATCATGCAATGTGGTTTTTCTTCTTTGAATTACATGTGGTGGTACTTGCCTCAAAAAACCAGACTGACTATTTACTGGTAGGCTGTCAAGAAAGCTGTATTGCAATGGAGGTGCCTATTAGATGGGACAAGGAAGCTTCTTTGGCAGATCGATTGTTTTCTTTGGTTAGATGCCACAGAAACATCTTGTAGACACAAACTAACTGTGGTTCTGCCATTCCTGCAGATGCCCTCATCTGGGAAGTGTTACAGGAAATCACATGTTTAAAGGGACTTGTGTAAGCATGTGTTTAGGGACTTGCTTTTGAAAGAACAGTAGCCTAACTGCTTAAACCCTCTGTACTGGAAGTAAGTTTCTTAACTCTATCACCTACTGCAGTAAATTCTGTTCTTAATGCCTGGAGCTGTTTATCTTTTGATATTGAGTCATTCAGACCATTCTAATGCTGATATTCTCATCAGCTGTGGGTGACTGCTGCAGAGGGAGAAGGGAGTTGTGTATCACTAGCAGAGCTCTTGAAAGTATCCACTAAATATGTGCTCATTAGCATTCGAAGCAGTTTATTTTAGGAGTAGGAATATATGAAAAAATAAGTGCAAGCCTGAGTGCCTCTCAGAATTAAGCAGGCATCCTATGAGAACTCAACAGAAAGCATTGAATCAGAAGTGGTTCAGGTAAGATGGAAAACTAAGCTGGTATCTCCTACTCTGCTTGCTCTGAAAAGCTAGTCACTATTAATCAGTTCTTAATATTTTGATATATTAAACTTCTTTGTTCCATTTATCACTCTTCCCCCCCACCCCCCTTTCTCCTTCCCCTCCGTTCATTGCCTCTTCTCCAAGGTCTTTGGACCAGAAACTACTCAGAGTGAATTTTTTGAAGGCTCAGTGAAAGAGATTGTAAGAGCATATGTTAATGGAGTGAATGGACTGGTGTTTACTTATGGGGTTACAAATGCAGGAAAGACATTCACTATCCAAGGTACGAAATGTTTGCCAAAAAAGCATATATAACAACCAAGTCAAAATCCAATGAGAAGTTTATACTAATATCTACATTTTATCTTTTGTTACTTTTAAGGGACTTCAAAAGATTTTGGTGTTTTACCTCGTTCACTTGATGTGATTTTTAACCACATAAGGGGAAGACATTACCTGAAGATGAACTTCAAACCATATTTGAGCAACGATGTTAAGAAACTAGAAGATGCACAAGTTAAGCAAGAAGAAGCCATAAAAACTGCTGTTCTTGCATCACTGAAAGAGGTCAGTGACCAAGTACTTCCTTGTTATTGAATGAAACTTCTTAAAAGCTTTCTGTCTAATAGACAATCTTTAATAAAATCTCTGTGTGGCTATTGATTCTTTAAATTTATCTAAATCTACAGTGGATATTTGGTGAACCTTGGAAAAATAAGGCACCTAGCTGGTTTTGGAGCTCAGGGTAAACTGGAAGAATGTTCTGCAGCAGGCAGCACACAGTTCAAACCAAAAACCATTGCAAAGCCAAAGCCTGGATTTGTAGATGACCAGTTCTGACACTGGTGACACGAGCCCTTAAAGTCTGAGAGCTGACCTGTCTAAAACCTGCTTCTTAAGTGAATCCTCTTATGGGTCGGGTTCCCGGGCTGGATCCCGGGCAGTTGCTTAAATTCTAGTACTACCTCAGGAGAGATGATGGCAATGTCTTAGCAGGGGCAGTGAAGATGGCAGAAGAGTCCCTTTTGGTGGAAGACAGTTTTAAAGCAGATTCAAAATTCTGTAAACCTGTGATTTCTGTAACTTCATAAAGAAACTTTTCTGATACAGCAAGTGAGATGCCACAAAATGAATTTATTAAAAGGATTATATCCTGCTTTAGAGGACTGTATATATCTTTAACTCTGTTTTTTGAAGATTGTAGGTAGAATAGAGGAGTCTTTACTGCAGCAGCCTCCTGTTCTCATTATCCGGTCACTTCTGTTTCCAGTGTAAGAAATGGGTCTCACCAGAAAATGGGCACCCTCATGTGACTGTTCTATGATTCTAAACCCAGCTGCAAATTGTCACAGGATATCTTTTTTTTTTACTTTTGTTCAAAACTTTTTTAACCTGAACTGTGAATCCATGAATTTAATCCCAAGATGCTGTAGCCTCAGCTGATTATCATTCAACGAAACTCTGAATGAATTCTGGGAAGTATAGAAGTAATGATTGACTGGATTTTCTTTTTTTTCTGTGGTTTTTAATACCAACATTGTTAAAGTACTCCAGTTAGCTCTGAAAAAATATCCTTCTATGAATCAAAATCATATGTAAAGTTCCACTCTAAATTCTATTGCTGAACTTAAGTTCTGCAAACTGAATTTTGTTTAGTCTGAGTCTGGTTAACTTTTGAGGAAAGATCTCAGATGAAAAATCTAAAAGATCCTAAAGATTGCAGATTTATTTTGAGTGCCTTAAAAGCTCACTCACTGTCGGTGTGCATGTGCATGCGCAGGGAGTAGGGATCTTAAAAAAAAATGGAGGTGGTCAGGAGGATAGTGAGTAAATATTTTTGAAAACTTTATGGTACCTACAAGCTTGCAAGAAGGAACAAGTATGAGTTCAAGGTCTAGAACATGAGGCGTAATATCTTATTTTGAAGATAACTGTACTTTACAAATATCCCTTTGTGTTAAATCACAGTCGGACTTTATTAACAATTTAGTTACTGAACGTTGCAGTAGGTAATCTAGGTACAGATGCACTACAGTGAAAAGCAAGCAAGACTCCACCATCAGGAAGGAAATGTAAAAGTGCATCTAGAAAATAATACGTGACAAGACCTGCTTATGTGTTGCAATGCCTCCACAGTGATAGCTTGGCTATTCCCAGTACTGAAGCTGTGCTTTTTGATAGCTTGTGAATGAATAGCGTCACTGTTCTGATGCTCACTCAGCCTTGTAATCTGAGAGCAGATACGGTTTGGTGGACCTGGTTTTAGTTTCAATGGATTTCTGTAGGCCCTTTTCCCAGGCTCAGTTTACATGTCATGCAGAAAGAGCTTGCTGTTCCTTTCATTCTCAGTTTAAACCGCTCTGAGTTACTGCAATACCCTTGTGTTTAGTGTTCTGCTGTTTATGTTCTCTATACAGTACTGCTGCAAAACCTCTTGCTTGGCGTGGTTCACGCACTCTCTTCCTTTTACTTGTTCTATTCATGGGATTAAAGACTGGTTTTTACTGGATTAAAAGACGCCTTACTTGCATTCCTATTCCCACCTGTCCTCGTATTTGCTATTCAGCGTCATCTTCTGTCGCTGGCAAACAATGTCAGTTCTTGTTCCCACTTGCTTTCAGACAGTCATCTTCAAGCCTTTTTCTATGTTTGGTCTTATGATTTGAAGAACAGTGTAGCAGCATAGCTAATTCACTCAGTTCTGTTGAAACACCTTAACAAAAAATTATCGCATGCACAACTACTGTGGTACTGGGTTTTTTACATTCTATTACATTTTTGACATGCTAAGATGTGCCATGTGTGTAAGTTCCATACCCTGCTTTAGAATTCTGCTTTGTACTTCCCAAACAGAATGAATAGAATCCATGATTGTAGTTATATTTGTAACTACTGAAGAAACATAAAGGTGTAGACAGTGCAGTCTTTGAAAAATGGTCACTTATAAAATAAATTACAATGAAATCATATGCTATTTGTCTTCAAAATGGAAGATCTGAAAGAAAAGTATGGCTTCTACTTTCCTGTTTGTAAAAATTCTGGTTTGGATATACCAAATGAGTAAGCTAGGCATGAGCAGACAATCCATAATGAACATAGCACTGCATTCAAATAGCTAGAACATTTAAGGTTTACTTCTTTGATCTGTTCCCCTCTTCCACTGTAGGATGATCCTCTACCAGGATTGGTTTTGGGGAAATCAGGGTGAATGTCCCAGTGAAAATTTATATCGGCGTGTAAAATACAGGGAGGGAGGTAGTGTGTGGAGATGGTGGAATCTCTGAATATAGTGGGAGTTGCTACATTAGTTTTCCTATGGATAGTTTGTAGCCTATGCTTTGACAAGTCTTGGCAGGTTTTTAAATTTATTTTTTTTTTTTTGATGTTAAGAAATTCATTAGATGCATATACTTAAAGAAACTGCTGTTACCTATACAGGATTTTTAATGTCCTTTTAATTCATTCTGAATTAAACCAATATAGACTGTTTATCAGATCTTTAAGTCCTTTATGAAACTATCATTTCACTCTGTCTGAGGTCTTAAAGTAAGCTTGACTCATACACAGACCTGGCACAAGCCTGTGATTTTCAACAAGCAGACAAATTAGGAATCTCTGCTGTTTTAGTCTCTCCATTGCACACTACCCTGCCATCTGCCCCTGAAGGAAACTTAACCTCTCCAGTTCCTTTGACTGAAGTGCTGTTGAGATTTGTCTGGTAGTTCATAAAGGCACCCTGGCCTGTTGCAGCCTGACAAAGGATCTTGTTTCTCCCAGAACTGTAAAGTCAGTCACCTATGTTAGCAGCAATTGGTCTCCAAAACAGGTTGCTGGGAGTAGCAGAGAACAAAAATTCTTGTGAGTGAAAGAGCGTTTATTGATTTTTAGTTCAGCATTGTCAAAAACATTTCTTTTGCAGCCAGAGTAAGAGTGGCTTAACACTTAATACTGCTTCAACATTTCAATCTTAAATACTGGAATTACTGTAATTTTTAACTTCTGCCATTCTCATAGTCTGCTCATGTGGATATAATGGTCTCTTGTTTTCTCAAGGACACAGAAAACATCTCAAATACTACTACAAATATATGCAATGTGGAGTTGGATTCTTCCAAGTGTACTTCAAAAATTCTTCCTTCTGATTCACTAGGTAAAATAAAGTGGAAAAATTTTGTGGGGGAGGGGAAAAATCGACATTCAGGAATATAAGTGGTTAACTATTGGTAGATTTAAAAAATCTCAATACTATACTACAAAGTGAATATATATATATATATATATATATATATATATATATATATATAAACACTACGTTTTAATGGCTCAACTCCAGAGAAGGAGTAACTATGTACAAGTATTTTGATAGTTTTTCTCCTATTAGGGGAAGAGGGAGACTTAGTTCTGCAAAACTAATGTATAAGCTGCTGGGAGCTCATGGTAGAGAGGAGCAATAGCTTAGAACTTGGGCATATTCTGGCTACATGTGACTGCTGAGAAGCTTGAATGTTCTTGGTTATACTCACAGTTATGCAGTACTGTGTATCTAATTGTAGAGCACAGGTATATACAAGCCTCCTTTGTTTAGGAGATTTTATATATTATAATTTTATCAATGAATTGTTTGATCATTGAACTCTCTCTGTTTTGCTTTAGCAGAAAAGGACTTTGTTCCTCTTGATATATCTAGGACTAATATACACCAAGGAACACAAGCATCTGTGTGGATTTCCTTTTGTGAAATTTATAATGAATATGTCTATGACCTATTAAATGTATTATCTACATCAAAAACTCAAAAACGCAGAGTCTTAAGAATTTGTGAGGATCAAGGAGGAAATTCTTATATTAAAGGTAATAATACTGTTTTATTACCTTGGCAGTTTCACAGAATTCCTTTGATGATCAGAAGTATATGTGAAAGGTCTCTTTTCACAGATTTAAAGTGGATTAACATTCAGAGCACTGAAGAAGCCTGCAAAATACTAAAAATAGGAAACAAGAACCGAAGCTTTGCTTGTACTAGAATGAATGGCCAATCAAGTAGGAGGTTTGTTCCTTTAATTTTAAACATACTCTATCCCTTTACTTTTAAGGGGAGGGAGGAGCAGAAGGGAGACGACAACTTTAGAATATGTTTGAAATTAACCACTCGTCAATAATTTAGGTCTTTCCTTGATTATTCTGGATTTATTATGAAATTATTTGTGGAAGAAAGGTAGGAGAGGCCCTATGGCTTTAACAGTAGCCAGGCTTGTGTTGCTATTCATGGCTTTGGACAACCAAAAGGATCAAATCACATTCACTTATGAGTGATAACAGGGCTGTACATCTTGGCAAATACTAAGGGTGCTGAGTGGGAATAGCTGTGCAAAGATGTTGAAGGAAAAGCTGAATAACTCATCATCACTGGCAGTGTAATGCCTGGAAACCTGGAGCCTGTCAGTAGGGGATGTAGAAAGGAGCGAGTTGTGCAGTACCTTGCAGTGCTGCTAGTTTATCTAGATGCTTTTAGATTGCTGTGTTCTAGCTGAGCTTTCTTGGTATCTTAAGAATTAAGCTCTTAGCTCTTACCCAGCTCCGGAAAGGGATCAGGGAGAATTTGACTTGATGGAGTGGGAAGAAATAGAGAAGATGGTATACTTTGTTGCAAATGCCTTCTTACTTTATTTTAATGTCTTCTTATTAATTTGTCCTTTAAGTGTGGAAGGGCCATGTTGTATATTTAGCTAATATAATCATAGTGTTACTAAGCTTGCTTTTTCTCTAAAAGTCAAGAGTTACACTGTTCTGTGTTAGCTAAAGACAGCTGCCATTAAATTTCATGCTAAGATTCCATCCAAATATCACTCAAGCCTAAAGTAGTGCAGAAAAGAATTGTGTGATTTTCCGGCAGAGTTTTGTGCCTAGACTGCCCTCTTTTCTGCTCCAGAGAATATGCTGACTTCCACTTACTTTTAAATTGTGGGGGTTGGTTTGTTTGTATTTGGGTTTGATTGCTTTTTTTGTTTGATTTTTTTAGAAACTTCATTCTTAAATTGTGAGTTGGTGCTGAGGAGTGAAGCACTGCTCTAAATATATACTAGAGAAATTTGTCTTCTGTGCTTCCTGATTGACTGGATAAACAGGACAGGGCAATTCTGGTTCTGAGTTTTTCTGTTCGGTTTCAGACAGCATGTCCAGTGCCTTTGTAGCTTGATGTCTAAAACAGAATAACTAGATTCTCAAGTGTTACAAATTCAATCTTTCTAGAAAACAGAATAATTTCAAAACTGAACAAATAACTGTGTATGTTGAACCAGACAAAATTACAGGCCTGTCAAGCTTTAATTTGTTTCCTTCTCCCCCACCTATTTATTCCTAGGAAGGTAATTCTTCAGATTTACTGAGTTCAGATACTGACTGAAGTTTGTATATGAAATGGCTACCTGGGTACTCATCTTCTGATCAGTAGACTTCAGTGAACTGGCTTGTTTTTTTCCAAGATAGCTTGTAGGCTTCATGTGATGTCTTTCCCTTTCCTGTACTGAAAGAAATGGAAAGTCACAAAATATAACTTTCATTGCTGCTTTTTGCTGTTGAATGAATTCATTGTGAAGGTAACTAATGTAAATCAGTGAACTAATTCTTGTTCTTTCTTCAACACTGAACTTTCAGTAGCATACATACTTTGCTTTTCTTCAGAGACTGCTTATTTTTCATACTTGTGGTTATTAAAAAGGACTTCTTTCCATTCCAGTCACAGCATATTTTCAATCAGGCTACTAAAGCTAACTGATGAGCATCATCCACGTCTTCTTGGAGTGTCAGAGTAAGTGAATGCTTCAACTGATTACAAGAATGTAAATATTTTAGAAAAGTTGATACGGTGTGAGCATGCTAAACTAGTGAACTTCCTTTTAATAAACAAATCATCTGAGAGCTGAGAAGGAAATCAGAACTCTACTGCCTGCATAAAACTAACTGAAACCCAATGGAAACAGCTGTAGAAGTGTTTTCCTGTCTCTCTTATGCTGTTAACAGGTTCATTTAGCCAAACCTTAAAACCCTAAGTAGTACATAAATTCAGGAAAATGTATGTATACTGTCTTACATAATGGGGAGGTAGGGGCAGGGTAGTACTATGATACCAGTGTATCTTTCTACTTTGGGATCACACTAAAGTTTATGGGTTGAGTGTTTGTGGCAGCACATGTGATGTGCTCCTGGAATGCAAATTCAAGTGTGTCATCCAAAAAGAATGCAGGTGCCATGCTCTGGGACTGTTCCAATGAACAATCTACAGTAAGGGGGAATAAAGTAATTTGCTTAAAAACTGTTCTAATCTAAAATGCTAATATAGGTGTGCCCTGTGAGAGCAGTGCTAAACTCTTATACCTCTCTGTTCTTTTGTGGTTTGGAGGAAGTGACCTAATCTTTTGGTTTTAGGCCATTTAGATAGCCCCTTTTTTTTTTTTTTTTTTCCCTGATTGTCCATTTATCTTGATATGGGAAAATGAGGACAGCCTGTATCAGTGTTTTAGTTCAGTCCTAGCTCCTACTGACTTCTCTCTTGTCTCTGCTGAGCAGAGATGGTAATAAATATGCCTCACTGTGAGATAACCTTTTAATGTCAGACATTACAGTGATAAATACTCTAAGGAAAGATAACTTGAGGAAATGACTGCATCTGTGTTCCTTGCTGTTCCCTGTCTTGGTGTATTCCCCTGGCAAAGCTTGCAGCAGCTGTTAGATAGATGGCAGAGTTTGTATGTTGCTTAAGGAAGAAAAAAGCTCTTCATCTTGTACTGAAAAGTTAGAGATCATAAGATCATAGCTTTTCACACAGTTGAAATATGTGCCTTATTAATATGTATAATATTAATATGTACTTATTTCAGCTGTATGAAAGGCTGTGATTTTACAAAGGTGTTATTTTATGTAAATAAATGTATGTATAAGTGAGTAATAATCAGGTTGCATAAATTACCTAATTTCCAGAGCTTCCTGTGTTTCAGTGGCTTTCTTTATATTAAGTAAAAATGATGAAATTCCTTAATTATCCAGGGTAATTGCCTCTGATTGTAACCTATTGTACCACGAGGGACCAATCAGTGGCCTGAGCTCAGTAGCATGTAATTGCTATAGCCAAACAAAGAGCAATAAGATGATGTGGGAAGGAGTTCTGGCCTCTTATTTGCAATAGTGGGCAAATGGTTCTGTATCCAACAGGGGCAGGTTGTGCTGTGTTGAAGCATACTACTAACCCGCAGTCCTCTTAGTGCTGGAACTGGTGAGGGTGACTGGCAAAGTGCTTCTGTAGCATAGCCCCACTATGCACAACTGTTTCAGAAATTCCTCTCGTCTTGTCTGGAAGTACTTATTTTAGGATTGCAACAAAATTTGGGTTCCTAAACTGAATTCTTTGTGTAAGAATGCATACAAAGTTTTAGATGAACGCTACAGACTTTAAATACGTTGAATAGACTATCTTAGAAGCAGCAATATTGTTCAAGTATCTGTATATAGAATGGGAAGATAGACAGGTTAGTGCTGTTATCCTAAATACCTTGTGTAGTGCAGTCTGGACAAAATGTCAACATTAAAATACAATTTATTCTGTGATATAGGTAGGCTGAAAGGAGTTGCTCGTTTACACTTTAGACACAGAAAGAAATGAAAAGACGTGCAGTGCTATTTTCATACTGTTTAAAACCAAATTTATATGTGTGTTCTGGATAATTCTTTCATGCAGGTTGTCTTTCTGTGACTTGGCTGGATCAGAGAGGTGTAATAAAACACAAGCCTTTGGAGATAGACTAAAAGAAGCAGGAAATATTAATAATTCTCTTCACATCCTTGGAAAATGCATTGCAGCACTGAAACAAAATCAAAATCAGAAGTAAGTGATAAGTTGTAAACAACATGCCAAGTTTTAGGCTGAATCCCTAAGCATCCTTTTATGTTTCTGCAAGGGGTTCTCCTGGTCAGAGGAAAATGGAAATCTACAAAATATTGTAAGCCACTTTTATTACAGAAATCACTGGAATACCCAAAATGAACATTCTCTAGAACTGCTGTTCGTGGAGACTAAGAAGAGGAATTAGCAGCAAATTACCAATCTTTTTTAGTGTGTTTGTGCATGCGTGTGTGTGTGTATGAGCAATACACTTTGTGTACAGAGCTCCTGTTTAGTCCTCTTCCCTTCTACCTCCAAATTACACAGGTGGATTCAACAGACAGCCGACAGATGTCCTGTACTTAGGTTTTGGGCTTGTTCCAGTATCTGCTTTGTAACACTAGGGAACTGTGATGCAGACACTATACTACTTTTACTTTTAAATACTTTTAGATTTTGTAGAGAGCTTGAGAGATCCAGGAAAGACTTTCCTCTTTGATGTGAAATAGCTTAGGCTTAAATATGAACAACCTACTGATCTCTTTCCTGAAAGAGAGAAACAGGATTAAGCTAAATTCTGGCGTCACACAATCTTACTTTTTTTTTTTTTTTCACAATTTTTTTTATTCTTTCCTCCATAAGGATGAAGCCAAGCTATATTCCATTCAGAGAGAGCAAATTGACTCGTCTGTTTCAGCCGTTCTTTTGTGGAAAAGGCAAAGCTTGTATGATTGTAAACATTAATCAGCATGCTTCCACATATGATGAAACAGTACATGTAATGAAGTTTTCAGCTATAGCCAAACAGGTAAGAGTGCACCTACTTTCTCTGCTATTCTGCATTTTTTGTTACTATTGGTTTTTGAAATGATCAGGTTGTATGGACTTGAGTGCAATTTGGACTTTTGATGCATCGTATTAATTCTTCTGCATGTGGTTTCCCTCTAAAAGACTTCTAGTAGTCTTGGCCATCCTCAGACCTATTTGTGGTAAGAAGTTAAGATAGGTGCAGCTGTCTGGCTTGTTCAGTCCTACACTGCCGATGTTCTATGTAAAAAGTAGTCAGGGCACTTTCAAATATGACTGGTTATACCATATATCTGAGCAAATGAAAGATTTCGATTCAGGCTTCCGATGAATTGTTTAGCCTGTGTGCAGTTAAGCATCTGTTGAACAAGATTACAATTGTTCAAAACTTCTTTGACAGCTAGTGGTGGTAGTGAAAAAATAGCCTCTTATTTTATAGCCTAAATGAGATCTCTTGTGCCTGCATTGCTCCTATTTGGCTAAGTGCAGGTAATTAATAATAAACAAAAAGGGAAGACTTTTTATTGGTAAATTAATGCTTGAAGGTGGTGTGTTCCTCTCCTTTAAAGGCAAAACAGTCTCTGCTAAATCTACATGCTGTTATGTTTTTTTTGTTTGTTTGTTTTTTGTTGTTTTTTTTGTTGTTGTTTTGGGTTTTTTGTTGTGTGTGTGTGTTTGTTTTGTTTGTTTGTTCTGTGGTTTTTTGTGGTTTTTTTGTTTTTTTTTTTTTTCCTGGTAGCTCTGCTTGTTAGCCTCCCATTGAATTCAGGACTTGGGGTTGATGTTTGGTCTTAAGTTCATTCAGCCTCCCTGGAAACTGCTTCTTGCAGGGAGTGAGATGGTGGGCTATGCTGTCTTTCATGGCAGAAATAAAGTCCTTTCCTGGTATGGAACCATTGATTAGTTCTGACACATTTCAAGTCTGTAATGGCATGTCTAGTATGAACTCAGAGGTTTTTTTCTAATTCTCTACAGCTTCAAATTTCATCATAAGAGTGTGCACTGAGATGACAAGCATCTCTGATATGTTGTCCTATGACAAACATACTTAAAATCTTTATGGAACTACAATGAATTGCTGAATCTTGGTCACAGTATTTCAGAAGGAGCAAATGTTTTAGGGATTTGCTGCTTTTCATTAACTTTCTAGAAAACTACAGTAAAAACTTGTATTTTAGGGGGAGAGAAAACACCTTTCTAGACAAGCATACTAGGTTTGTTAGATTATCTTTCCAGTTTTCACTTTGTTAGAGTATCAAAGTTTTATATTTGTATTCATAGATGGTTTTGTCTGCTAAAATACATGTAAAATTTTATTAATGTTCTCGTAATCATTAAACAAAGTGTAAATACAACAATGCATTCATACCACTTTTTTCTAGTATTATGATATCTGAAATATTGACAGCATTGATAAATCAGTGTGTTCAATTTGGGATTTTCCAGGTAATCCAGACAATCTTACCCAAAAGTTTTGGTTATTTTTCACCCAAGCTAATTGGCGGCAATGGCAAACCTATTGTGCGCTTTGATGCTAGCACATCTGTAGATGACTTTCCTGACAGTTCTGAAACCTCTGCAGAAGAGGAAGTGGACATCACCATTCTGAGTCATGAGGTAGATACATGTGTACTCAAAACTGTACCCAAGAAAGCCATTGCTATCAGTTCTAATATTAGAATCTTTTACCATAAGAGGTGTGCTGGAAGCTGTATCAAATGAGAGCTTCTGCTCAGTGTCAGGCAGACCTAGATTTAACGTGGTCTAGCTCTGAAGGAACAAGTGTAGTTGTGGAAGGCTGTCTGAAGCTTTCTAGTCAGATCAAGTGCTAGGTTTGGAATTCAGCTGATTGCTCAATGAGAGGAGTAAGGAAGCAGTAGGTGTTTAAAATGTTATTTGGTCGTTAGTGCTCCTTTGGGAACAACAGGAACAAGTTAAGATGCAGCATTTGAAAATTATATAATCTAATAGCAATAAAATGTAAAAATCAAGTATGCTTTAAGCTAAAGGGTTGTATAAATTAATACTTAAATGAAAAACCAGTAGTAAACCTTTTGATAGCAGAAACCATTAAGATGGAGAAAGGTTGTCTTTGCAGCAGAAATTAATGTTTGAAAATATTCAACCTTTGGTGCAGCCCCTCTGAAAAATATAGACTTGTAGAAATGCCCTCTGGGTGGCTGGCTGTATGAATGTTTCATTTGATATGTGTATTGATATGTGTTTCTAGCTTGTTTTCTGAACTGAAATGTGTTAAATTTAGGATCTCTTGAAAACTACAGAAAACCTAAGGGAGAAGCTAGTTGCAGAAAAGCAAAGTAAACTCCTCCTGGAGGTGAACATACGTAGAGAGATGGCAGAAGCAATGTTCCAGCAGCTGTTGGAAACAGAGGAAGCCTGGAGGCAAGTCATATTGCAATCCTCTTCAAGACTGGAAGGATTTCACATATATAAATGCATACGTTTATATATATACACATATGTACGTATATACATATATGTATATATGTAAAACATGTATGCTCATGTTATTCAGAGAAGTTAGGGCTGGACAGTTTCAAAGCTTCTGATGAAAAGGAAAGAAGGAAGGTTAAAATAAACTTGTACAGATAAGCCTCTTCCCATGTACAGTGAAAAAATAATGCTGCTTTCTGTTGAACTCTGTTTAATTTGTAATTACTGGAGACAGTCCTGACTCATTATTAGTATTTAGCAGAAGTGGAAGATTGTTACAGGTACCCCACTGTGGCTTGTGGTTGTTCTAAAACTTACACTTGGTTATGTTAATATGCATGTGTGTGAGGTAGGTGGTATTTTATCTCTTTGAGCTCTCCTGGATGACTTATGAACCATTGTTAGCTTATTATCTTATAAATTACTGTGGCTGCGTGCACTGAGGTTACTAATGTGGGAATTTTTTTTTTTTAAGTGTGTCCAAATTGCTCAAGCTGAATTCACTTCCTCATAACTCCTCTTGAAATCAATTTCCTGCTGTTTGAATTGCTAACAGAGACTAACCCCAAGTTAAGTTCCCAGCTGAACACACTATGGTTTAACACCTGCACTGACTTGAAAATTGTTTGAGTGCCTTTGGCCAAACACATGAAAAAGCAGTGTTGCTTTTTCTCTGTTGAGGTGATGTTCTGCGTCACTTCTAAGTCATTCTTAAAAATTGTGACAGGAGTAATGTATAATGTATTGAAATAATAAGGCAAAATCAATTTGGCGTTTATCTTTAACAAAAAAAAAAAAAAAAAAATCCCAAACCCAACGTGAAAAACATCCCTCAGAAATATGCTTCAAATATCAGGTGTAATTGGGTATAATCATTTCTAGCACTATATGTTGGTGGATTTTTTTATAAACTATTGTTTGACAGTTCTTAAGTATGTGTTCTTTTATAGCACTTATCTTGGTATATGCCAAGTAAAAGCTATGCCTTGGTTCAGGTCTGTAGGATCATTGAGAATAAAAAGAAGAAAAGGGAAAAGGTACTTCTTGGTCTCTTAACATGACTGTGATTGGATGAATAACTCTTTGCTGGTTGAACATGTAGTCAAATTGAAAAAGCTGGAATGCTAATATATTAAATACAACTAACGTGTTCTCCTCAGCAACCGCTTGGAAGATATGAAAGACAGTTATGAAGAAAAACTGGAGAGTAAATTTGAAATGTATAAGGAGGCCATCAAGAAACATGCATATTTGTGTGCAATGGAACAAATCGAAGACCACTATGTTACCATAGAAGAATTTCTAGCTGAGCAAGAGAAAGTTGAGGTATAATTTGACTGCTGCTAAAAAATGTGTACTAGTCTCTTAACTAAATTTTGCTTCTCCTTAACAGAATGATTTGAGAATCTTAAATGTGACACTGAACAGGCAAAATAATTTGCAGTTCAGCATAGCTATTCTGGTGTCCAGTGCTAACTGTAAGGATGGAGATGTCTTCTGTCTAACGCTACCTGTAGTGTATACCTAAACTTGTAAACCTGTGAGGGCACAGTGCACTTAAATCCAAGTCATCTTTATCTCTGTAGTGCTGTGATTGGAACACCTAGAGGGATTGTGTACACAGCAGTCTGGTTTTGTGGAGATCCTTGGGATTGTAGGGTGTAGAGTAAACCACTAGTCTGAAAGGGTGGGTTGCTATTTTGATTATAATGGATCTCTGCTCTGAAGGTCTGGAGGGAGGATTGTGGGATAAGACACTATAACGAGAAATCAAACTTCCTGCAGCAGAGAACTTAATCTCCTGAATGTACTTCTACCTAGAGCTGCTCAGAGTTGGCATAAGTGAGTTGCTATTTCTTTTGCAACCGAGTCATTTTAGCCATGTGCAACTCCATCAGACTTGACTTCTAGCCTCTGCATAGATGGCTAAGTGTATCTGGGCAACAGACAAGACCTGTGGGGCTCAGTCTTTTTAGAAGGTCTGTAGTGGAAGAATAGAACTGTGGTGTACAGCAGAGGTGCTTCTTCACTGCACTCTCCTGTCCAGGACCTGGTAAGCCTTCTTACTCCACTGGTAGGCAGGTTCCTTTAAATAACACGAGGGGAGTGGGTTTCTGTTGTAGGCTGTGATATATAAACATTTCTGCTTTTACAGCTTTCCAGGTGCTGACAAGCAACACTGTACTGTGTAATGGCCTCTGTTTTTCCAGCTCCTTCACACTTGTCTTTTTTCCCTACTTAGACTCTCTTTTCATGTTCATGTAATACTTAGCTATACACCATGTTGGGGTGGAGGAAAAGAGTTTTAATAGCATTCTCTGTATTTATAGCTGCCTCTTACACTGGCCACAAGGCTGCATAAGGGAGGACTCAAGGAAAAAGATGGTCTTTGCAGCAAATTAGATAGATAAGAAACTGATGAAATCACTAAGATGTAAAATCCTTAACTGACAAAGGACAGCACAACATGAAATCTGAGTGGGCAGCTTCAGAGAACCAGAATTAGATGAATAACATTTTTGATGGTGATGCTTGTTTGATTTCTCACTCTGAAATACCATCCTAGAAATCTGACATAATGAAAAAAAAATTGAGATTAAAATTTAGTTCTATGAAATTTGTTCTTCCTTATTTAGCAAGCTAACTGGCAGCACAGATGCACTAAAGTTTCCTTTCTGCCATATGGTTACTTTTAATATGGTTTGGAAATCTTCAGACTGGAAGAGTTGACTCCTGTGTAAAGTAACTTCCTCCTAGAAGGTCTTGTGATCTCAGTGTTACTCCTTACTGTATTTTCTCAATCATAACCATCACAGCTTCCACCTGTGAAATGATTTTAAAACTGCATATGCATGTGTAGTATAACTGAAGAATGTGCAGTAGTGCATCAGGTTAAGCAGAAATTTAGACACATCTTACCACGTGCCCTTCTTTTTTTCAGGAAAGAGAGAGTAAAATACTGCAATTGGAAAGGCAACTTGATGAACAGTCAGGGAGGCTGTTGGCTCTGGGAAGTCTGAATTCAGCTATACTGACTACTGAAAATAACATGGAACTAGGTAGGAATCTAATCTGGATATTCAAAGTTCGATTTGCTTTTGGTATTGTGTATAAACAAGCCAACTTTTCTTTTGCATATAGATCTGATGAACAAGACGATGAAGAGAGCTAATGAAGGACTGCAGAAACAATGCAAAGAGAAAGAAGAGGTAGTTCTTGCTTTAATATTTAACAAATCTGGGGATAATGGTCCTAATCTCTGCTATAGTTTAATGCTCAAGGATCTGCACTGTACACAAAAGCACGAATATTCCTGCAAATGGGCATCAAGTTTACAAAAACGTCCTTGCCCAGTTGTGGATGACTTTAACCAGAGATAGGCTTTGTTCTGGCTTTAGTTTATAAAGGCATCTACTGTGTAACAAGTCATATGGTGAACATGATGTGAGATAGAAGTAGGGAAGTGTACAGCCTTGGATTGGAATTTGTTGTAAACATTACTTCTATGGCCTCAGTGCTTTCCTTCCTGAAATGCTGCCTGCTTATGCACAGGGGAACAGTTACAGAATCTGGTAACAGTTTAGATCTAGAGCCAAAACAGTGCCTGCAGCCAGTCCTTTCTGTAAGTACTGAACTCCACTATCCCCTTAAACTCAAGTAAAGGGTAATGTCTCTGTTCTTCAAACAAACAAGATCCTTGTGTTCTGAATAGCAGATAGAGGTGGAAATTATGATCTTCAGGCTATGTTATGGAAAACTAATATTAATTATTTTTAGGTAGGTGGTTTTAGTCTATACTTTGAATGAACTTCTTGTAAGGCTATTGTTAGTTTCCCAAGTTTAAAGAAGATGGGGAGTAGGGAAGTGGCAAACCTTGTTCCTGTCACTAATAACTAATAGGAGTGGGGGTTGGAGAAATAGTTCCAGCTGATTCTAATAAAACATGTAAATGGAAAGTGAACTTAAATCCCTTTCTATTGAGAACGTGTACTCCAGAAATAACTTTTTCCTTACCAAGTTTAATGTCCCACGTTATGGCCCTGGCGTTTGTTTTCCACTCCCATTCTTGAGAGCTCCACATCATTTCCATTTCCTATGTCTATTTGAAATTCTGATGAAAGTTTGGCTTTTATGTTTGATGTGGGGATACAGTATTGATTGTTTTGTGTGGCTAGAAGGTGTTAGAATGATGGCATTGCTGCCTTGCAATAACTGAAGTGAGAGCAGTTTTAAGCAGTTGGTTCCATCAGTGCCCTTCTGCTGCTTTGCCTCCTATCTGTGCATGTGCGATGAGTAATTCACTACTCTTTTTTTTTTTTTTTTTTTTTTTTTTCCTTTCTTCCCATTCAGCCATTAAACATGGGCAAGGGGTGGGGTTTTTTTTTGGCAATCTCAATATTTTCACTCCGATCCTGTAGAAGTAAATTAATGATATAACATTAATTTTACTGGTTCAGAGTTTCTTTTCCCTCTCAGCACTAAATCTATTATTATTCCCATCAGAAAGGTGAGGTTTTCTGTTGTAACTGTGTTCCAATTCATTATATGAATAGTGTTAATGAGATGAGAACGTTCTTTTAATTGCCCTTACTGAAAAGGAGCAGACTGTTCCAGAAGTAGCTTAGTCTGTGCTGCTGTTTGACTGTGTAAACCTAGTAACTTCAGCATAATAGCTCTTGAATGCTCCAGCTGTATTTTAGCACCAGAAAAGACGGGCTGGGACATAGGAGATTGAGAGAAGTGGACTTCGTCTTCACTGCTTTGATCTTGCAGTTTGCACTGTTTCGTATTAATTGGAAATGCTCACAGTATCTGTATAAGTTCTAGTCATAAAATCAATGTAAAACACACTGTCTTGAAAGTCAGGGTGTATGGGTTTTATTTGCAGCTGATAAAATCTCTGAAGTTTAAAATACAGAAATTAAATGAAACCTTGCTAGAAGCTAATGAAGGCTACAGAAAAACGGCAGAAGAGAACTGTCAACTGAAGCATACAATCATGCTCAAGGTTTGTCAACAATTTAAAAACAACTTTAATATGACTTGTATCTATAGTTCTACTGGATGTTTCTGCATCTTTGTACATGTAAAAACACTACTTGGTTTTACTAATCTCTTTTGATAGCATTTTTTCTGTCCCTGACTTACTGAATTATGAGCTCAGAGTCCTTGCATTTCACATCTGTATCTTGTAAGACAAGACTAATTTTTCAACTTAAGTGATAGACTCGGTCAATAGGGTAACTGCTGACAATCCTTGTTAACCTAAAGATGCCACAAATTATTGTCAAGCAAAGAAAATACTACTCTGAACTCTAGTCATGAAGTATTTTGCTGAGAGCGAGCAAGGTGTCAGTGCAAAAGTGTAAGTGCAACAAGACCTAAGGATTTATGGCTTTAAAGCTACAGTGACACTCCTGCAGAGGTGGTCAAGCTGGATAAGAGATATAGGCAGATAAACTACTTAATACTGAAATAGCAGATATTTTTCCTTCAAAAGCAGACTTCATGAAGTTGACAGCATCTGACCGTAGATATCAACTAGATTGCTACATAAAATAAGGAAAGTTTTGAGCTCTCGACACTTTGCGTTTTTGCCTCATTTGTAATCTGCAAATGAAGCAAGGCAGTTTTAAGACTGCTTAGTGATGCTTTCATTGTTAAATTACCTTCTGCATGCTCTTTAGTCAAAGCCTGAGACTGAAAATTATTCATCTTGAACTTTGTTTCTTTATTAGTTCTAAGGCATAGGAGGGTGGCTTTTTGTTAACCACAGTGATTAGAGAGAATCTTTAAGACTGTATTCTGCCCACTCAAAGCATTTATTCAGTCCTGGTTAGCAGACTTATGAATATAAGAGTTCTGATTTGACCAGTTTTGCTTTCAGTAATGGCAGGTTAAGACAGGAAAGCCTTCTTTCTTTGGTTCCTAGAACAACAGCAATTGTTTGCATAGTGTGACTAAGCATCAGCTTGTTAGTCAGACTTGGTCGTTAACTAGATCTGATGGCCCTGTAGTTTGCTCTTCTCTAAATTCCATAAATGTAATTCAGAAGAAATGAGTACTGATTAGCCATTTGGCATAGTAATAACAAGGGTGTTTACTGTCATAGTAAAATAATCTGAAACAGAGTGTTAACTTCATGAAAAGACCGAGGAGTGTTCACATACCTAACACAGCCTTATCCTCATAGGATCAAGAAATTAATAGTCTTCAGAACCGGGCTAAACGTGTTCTTGAGCTTGAAGAAACAGTGTCTTCCCTGCAAAAAGAACTTGATGAACAGAAAAAACACTTCTCTCTAGAGGAGCCAAAACAACAGAAACCCAGGAGAGGTTTGTTGGCTAACCTGAAATCCACAGTAGCAGCCACTGCTAGTCCACCCCTTGGTAAAGGCTGGGGGAAGTATGAAGATGCCTCACTCTCTTCAAGGAAACAAGTACTGCTGGCTCATAAAGCAAAAGAATAATATTTGATTAATCAAAGTGTGCAATTACTGGGCTTCTTTAGCAATCTTAAACTGTTGGTAGCTGTGTCTCACTCTTAGATGCCTTCTTCACTGTCATGTTAACTGACAGAAAAAAGTTGAATATGGAACTTTTTAAAATGAATCAGGGTTGAATTTAGAGCTATAGAAGTTTAGGTCTAAACTTGTGCTTTTACTGTTGTTATAGGGATGTGATTTGAGAAATATATATATCATTTTAATTCTTAAGTAACTGCTATCATGGTCTTCTATACTGATAAATGTGTGAATCATACAAAGTGGGATGTTCTTCATCTGCTGTTTGTTACTTTTTAAAATTAAGTATTTAATTCAATTCTTGATTCCTAGAAATCAGATGGCTTGTAAGCTTAATCTTGAGTAGCTAAAATAGCTTGGTTCTTCAGTTAATATCCTGGCTTTGACTTGGAGACTGCTGTCTTGGGACATGAGGTCTTATCTGGATCCTTGCTATTTTTCAGTTAACTTGGCTTTGTAAAGGAACTTGTTTGGATTTCCACTAAGAATATGCATTAAGCTTTGAAAAAATCTATTTATAATAAAATTTTCCATTGCTAAACTAAGTTCTGACTGTTCGTTTTATAAAGGTGAGAAAATCAGTGAAATCAAGATAAGGAAAGATCATAAACTTAGAGGCCAAATGATCACAGTGGCTGACATACGATGATCTTGAGTTGAAAGAATCACAGCCCTGATTATATTACTTACCTCTATATAGGAACTCAAGGAACAAATACTGAAAAAATTTGAAATAGCTTAGAGCCATTTCAGTCAGTGAGGGTGAGAGTTTTTTCTAACTACCGTGAAGGTATCATGCCTGTAAGTGCTGGAGGATTGCTTTAGAGCAAGGCAGAATCCATAAGTAATTTGTGTTAATCTGTCCCTGTAATGCTGTTTCTCACAGTGGAAGGGGACCCAGTTCAGAGCAAGAACTTCACCCTCCCTGAGGAGACACTAGGTGCTGCAGCCTTCCTGTGTGACACTGAGGACAGCCCTTCTCTGGTGTGACAGTTCTTGCTGGCTCTTTTGAGTTTTGGGTTTGTCTGTGCAAATGCAGTGATAAGCAATCCCTCTGTCTTTAACTGGGCTGCAGATGTAGCACTTGAGCCAGTGCTGCTCTCATGCTTTGAGCTGTTCCTGTTAAACTACAGGAGCCAGATAACCTGTATTTAAAAGACCTATAATCCATTCAGGGTAGAATTTCTAAACTATTGTTCTACTCCCACACAAACTATTCCAGCTATTAAAAAAAAAATCTTGGTGTAGTGATACAATACACTGAGTGTTGATCCCTTGAATAAGAAAGTTGTTCTCTAACAGCAATATTCAAGGAGTTAAAAAGGAAAATCATCAGAAAGTCTAATGCTAGAAACTTTCTACAGTAGCCTTTCTACAGTACCATTTCAAAAGATCTAGTGCTACACCTTGACAGTTTGTGACTTGTCTGGGAGTGTATCTTAGCAAGTTTATGTAATGCTAACTGTAACCTCTTGTTCCCTGAGCAACTGCTGTTTCCATGTTCTCTCCTACTTCCCAGAGCTCTTTGGTTGGCTGCAGGAAATGGTTTGAAAGACAAGATTACATTATCTTAAGCTGGTTTTATTTTTTTCCATAAAATAAAATGAAGCCTGTAGTGAAGTACTGATCAATCCTTAACTGCCATGTTTTCCAAAGAGTTGCAATGGACTGTGGTGCTATTACAATCAAGACTTGAGAAGCTGCTTTAAAGGACAGCTGAGGACTGACTTCTCTTCCTGCCCTCCAGACTGAACAGAAACACCAACAAGAATGCAGAGATGGCTGGTTTGGTCCTTTTCAGCTTCTTAACGCAGAATGGGTGTAAGAAAAGTAGAATCCATTAATCTTGTTAGTGGTGATAAACAGATGTTCCCCTGTTCCACATGAAGCTACCACTCTGGACAGAACATCAGCCATTTGTTTTATCTCAAACTACTACCGTACAACTTGCTTCAGATTAAGTGTTTATTAAAATTAAAAATCACCATACAATAGAAACTATTTACATATTTAACTGATAGTCTGCTTAAACTGCACAGTTTGACTGAAGGAAGCCAATAGAAAAGCAATGAATATTTATGCTGCTGAACTTCAACTGCAGGCATGCTGAAGCTTTATCAAAAGGGTTTTAAGCTTCTGCAAAGTACCATTTGTCTAAATAATTGGGCTGAGGGGTGGCAAAGATGTACTGGGTTTCAATTGTAAGAACCAGTGTCATATTTGGGGGAAAAAAAAAACAACAACAACAAAAACAACCAAAAAAAACCCCCAACAAACAAACAAAAAAAAAAAACCCAACAAACAAAGAGAACAAAACAGTAATCTGTGTTGTAGTTACATTGCAATTGCACTAGCCCAGCTGTTTTGGTAATTTGATAGAACATTCGCTGTGTAGAGTTTAGCAAACTGCATTCTCTTTTATGAATTAGGTGTATATACCAAGCAACAAACCTACAGTGTCACTGCAATGTAACCTGACATCCTATTGCATATTTCCACAAATTGGTTTTGATAGTGATAGAGCTAGTTTTAGTTTTAAAACAGATCTGAGCTTAGTTAATTAAAGCAGCAAAAATATAAGGACTATTGTTTAATAATCATGGAGGATTAAAAATTAAGATTAAAATGTTTTCACTGGTAAGTCTCAGCGACTGCAATGAAAGTATTAACTTCCTTCAAAATCCTGTGCTTTCCCAGGGACTTCAGGTGATGACTTTGGCCTTGTGGAAAACTGAAGGTTGAACACAGAGCTAGGTCTGCTGCTGCTTCTGCCGTCATGTGTGTTCATATTGCACTTCTGCATCTGTGGTGGCTGGGTGATGCTTTGAAAATTATTTTAAATTTAGTATAAGTAATACAGCAGTAAACCAGAATCATCTTCAGTGTAAAGAATTACATACGTAACCCTTCCTTAAAGGAAACCATGACACTGTTTAGAAAGTCTTACAAGAGGTGATGGTACTCCAGATACTAATGTGAAATAACAAGGATATAAAAATAACTTTCACAATATGCTGTATTTCAAAAAAGATGATTTAAGAACATCACCATGTCTTAAATCTGTAAGTTCTCCTTCATTACTTTTTCTTTTGAAAACAGCTGTTCATGCATCTTCTCGCCCCTTTTATAAAGGTCTCCTTGTAATGTATTGCATGACTTAGATCCTAAGAAGGCGTTGTCAAACTACCACTGTGTGGTTGCTTTTTTTCCTTCTCCCTCCCCACCCCAAAAAGCCTGCTTGCTTCGGGATGTTTCTGCAGATGCAAAACACAGAGCACTTCAGGAGAACTTCAAACTTTAGAGGAACTATTTAAACCAAATAAAAACATTATTATTTCTCTGCAGAATTACTTTTTTCCTTCAACATTTCAGCCTCTGCACTCAGTTAAGATGTCCAAACTCATGAAGTAATTGGTTTGAGCAGTCTGTTCAAATAATGGTCCGTGCCAATGATCCATGGCAAAAGAAAAAGTGTTCTTTGTTCTATGGCTGTTGTTGATACTGCCCTTCTGTTGCTGTGTAGAAGTCATCAAGCACACTCTGTAGATAATCAAATGTTGGCCTCTCTTCTGCTTTGTCTTTCCAGCATGTTTTCATGATATCGTAAAGCTCAGCTGGACAGGTTTCCATACGTGGCATTCGGTACCCACGCTGAAGAGCAACCATCACATCTGAATTGCTCATACCTTCAACAAAAAAAGAAAGTTTTGATGAAATTATCTTAATTCTTAAAGAAAACCATTTTTTATTTACTTCAATCTAAAGATCTTCACCCAGTAATACAAGACTTGCTACTTATTAAAGGTAGCTACTAATATGAGTTTGGTAAACACGGCTGAGATGTGCACCAGCACCAGAGGACTTGCTCTGAAAATCCTGGGGAGAAGGTTTCTGTTTCCCCAGTTGAGCAGTGTGACCTCTTTAGCACCAAGACTGAGACTGGGGGTGAGATCATAATTCTTGTCTGCAGAACCAGCTCTGTTCTGTTCCTCTGAACAGCCCTGCCACCGTTTGTTCCGCCTCCAGCAGTGGTGAGATTCACAGCAAAAGCCCACCCTGGCATCAGCCTTTGTCTCTAGCTGCAGAGCTTCTAACCTGCTTTTTCTAGACCCCATCCACACTGAGACAGAGAGCAGCCGACGTGTTTGACCACCTTGTCCAACGCAGTAACTAACGAACACGCGGTCAGGTTTTCTTCTGCATTAGCTTTTGTGTAAGTGCTGCTGATTGCAAGATACTAGACGTAGTCACTTGTGATATTGTTACTTCTAACAGGTAATTTCTCCTCCCTTCTTCCTCATCCTGTTCCTATTGTACAAAGCCATTTTGCCAGCTGTGCTGAGCTTTGCTTTGTTTCCCTGTTATGGTTTTCTTTCAGAGGATAAGAACCAGAACTACCAGAAGTGCATCCTGAGCCTCACATGCCAACTAATGTCACATGAGAGAGGAAGACTGCCCTAGACTCCACTGCCCATTTCTCTCTTCTCCCTACCACCCCCCCTTTTATTTTTTTCTTTTTAAATCCTTGAGAGATTGGTTCACAGAATGACTTTGACACCTATCCTCCAAAGGTCAGCTAGGCCAGGGACAACAAAAAGGCTCACGGCTTCCTACCCAGAAACCTGTCTTTCAGCTTGTCCCTTCCTCTGCAAATCTTATGCGACCTGGTGGAGTAATTGTGCCAGGATCACCTTCTCCAGGACACAGTCTCTAAGCTTTCCGTACTCCCCGTGAATGCCATTTCTTCTGATGACTGAGCATGCAGGAAGCTCCTGTGCTTCAGCCTAGATATTTGCTGCCACCAGTGAAGACTTTCCCTTTTGAGAAGGGCATTCCAGACCCCACAGCCCCTGGCCGTTCCCCAAGCTAAATGCTCTACCTGGTGTGGTTCTCCCTAAGGTTACAGTTTCTCATGGTTTTCTCCGGCAATTCGGCCTCCAGTCAGGACACTGACTGCTCCTGCACAGGGCAGTTCCCCAGAGGTGCTGAGAGGATGCAGGATGGGTCCCACTCCGAGCAACGCTGGCAGTGAAGATGCAGATGTGGTGCCCCCCCGAGTACGTGGTGGCTGTGCAGCTCTGTTGCTGCAGACTGTGTGGAGCTTTGTACGTGTTATTTGACTACTAAAGCTATGATTTAAGCCCCTGAGCAGGTAAGGACACATCTGAATTACAACCAAATGACAGCTTTATCCGGTATAACTACATTGATTATTCAAGATGATTATAGTTCATATAGCTGACTTCAGTTCAAACCTTCTGGCTTTAACTTTTGCTAGAAATACCGTCAGCCATGTAATCTGAGTCTGGATCAGAGTGCTTACTTTGGGCACATCTTTTGTATTTTCAGTTCCTCTTTGGAAGGAGAAGTAAAGTTATCCTGAGCTAATACTGCACACGTGTGTAGAAAAAATGTATTTTGAAGGTAGCAGTGGAATGGCATGTCACAGAATAAGGAATTGCTTGTATATAAAGACAAAATAAATAGAGGAATAAAGGCAATAAAGCATTTTATAGAGAACAGTTATCTGACTCCTTGAGTTTAAAGAAATGGATGGTGTATAATGTATGCAGTAAAATTATTATTCATACTATGCAAAACCTTAGTTAACTCTGTGCTGCTACACGAGGACTGCTGCTACTCCTCTTTCCTGCAGAATGGGGCTGATTCTGTGGGTTTAAGTACTTTGTAGGATTATGCCTAGATCTAGTGCCCGAAGGATCTTTTTGAATGCCAAGGACAAAGCGTGTGTTTCAGCTAACCTGCAGGAAAACTATCTGTCTGTTAAATAACCATTTAAGTTCACAAGACAAAAGTGAAAATACTTTTATCAGTATTCCATAGGAGTTACGTCATGAACGTACTTGCAGACATTTGGGGTTTTATTTAAAACAAAAAGGCTTACCTATCTACCCCACAGTCCAAGCAGCATTCTCAAAATAGCTACTTGTTTAACTTTTCCTTTTAAAAATTATTTTTATATTTTTGAGGCTAGAGAATTGCCTGTCTCATCAAAACTACATCCTAATCAGTAAAAGAAATGTATCTCACATGCATATTTGTCATACTTACACCCTCTTAAACGCTAGCAAATGACATTAGCTCTAAAGGTTTGGTACATGTCTGTGAATTTATGCTGTGGTACCTGTTAAGCTTCACAGATAAAGACTTATTTCCTTACATTAGAGCCTGGGAAATGATGTGAACACAGTGGTATGGAGGAAGAATCCTGCTGTACAGCAAGTGGCATATTTTGTAAAGAGCAACAGACGTAATTGGAATGCAAGTATGGATCTTGCCAATATTTGACATACTCTATAATCACCTGGAAATTAGTTTAACAAGCAATTCAACTTATTTGCTCAGAGAAACAGATACTTGTAGTTCCTGAAATTATAGTCCCATTAAATGCTTTGAGTTTTTCAGG